CCCTCCCTCCCTCCCTCCCTCCCTCTCTCCCTCTCTCTCTCCCTCTCTCTCTCTCCACTTGCGGTGCGCGCCGCACTCTTGCCTGCAATTAATCGTTGCACAGCGCGTGGACCTGCGATTGTTGCAGCCCGAGCTTCGCTGCGCTACGCTACGCCACGCCACAATGCGTCGTTACACACTTGGACAAAGACGCGGAGAGAGAAAGAGAGAGAGGGAGGGAGGGTCGTGAAACAGAGAGTGTTGCACCAGGAGCACGGGGAGCGGTCCACAGCTCGCTGCCCGCGGGTACTGCGTGGTCTAGAATCGCCCGCTGCTGCGGCCCGCTGCTAGGGAATGCGAGACGCACATGAAACATGGGAAAATAAATCGGCCGCGCGCCCCCCGCGCCGCTAATGTCGTTCTGACCTGACTGAGCACCGCGGCCACCTTCCCCTCGGTGCGGCGGCGGCAGCAGAGCGCTCTTGATTACAAACACGCGGACCGCACGCGGCGAGTAAATCAGCTGCTTTTGACGCCAAGGGAGCTTCCCCGAGGAGCTGCACGAGAAGGCGGGCTGGGAGTGGCGCCAAAGCGGGGAGAAACCGACGCAGTGTGTGTGTGTGTGTGTGTGTGTGACTTTCTTCCTAGCGTGCGACGACAATGTTTGGCCGCGCTCTGTTCAAACAGGCCCGCCCTGTCGCCCCCGGGTCCATAGCTGCCAGCGCCGTGCGGCACGCCCTCCTTTGGTGGCCCCGGTCCCCTTGGCCTGCCTATGGGGGATAGCTCTCTCATACTCTTGCCTCTCTCTCTCTCTCTCTCTCTCTCTCTCTCTCTCTCTGTCTCTGTCTGTCTGTCTGTCTCACAACTCGGTAAGCAGATGCAGGCTTCCAGACCAGGCAGCGGCGCGTGCCCAGTAGTGAGAGAGGGAGTTTTGAGTTTTTAACAAGGATTTATTGGGGGGATTCTAGTTACAATTATGGGCCAAATGATGGTTAAGTTTTGATGTTACAATGAGCATGCAGTACTTATTGTTTGTGTCTAACAAGAGTAAAATTTAGAATGCTAGAATGTTACAGTTTTGTTTCTAAGTGTGGGAGTGGGTTTAATATTTAATAGTTGAACATTT